GGTATCCAAGGCCTTGTGTTTCCTTCTTAGTGGTAGAAGATGTGAGCTGTCATTATTTGTTCCTTACTTTAGAGAGGAAGTCTGGTGTGCTCCTAGCCACCAGACCACTGAACACTGAAAAGGCTCCTGAGTCTTTTCAAGGTTGATCCACCACTGTCTGAAGCACCTATGTTTTTCTAAGGCTGCTAACGTACCTGCCACATCTTGCTCATCCAGTTGTTGATAGTCATCATCGGTATAGTGAACTTTGGAAATCTTCTGTGTCAAAGGGTGTAATGGGTGTTCCATCTCAGATAAACAAACAGGATGTATGCTTCCTTTGTGAGGGATATGTGACACTCAAATATTTAAGCTTTGACTCTCCCTCTCACCCTCTCCTTTCTCTCTATATATAACTCTTTCTTTATTGACAAAACTCTAAAGTCCTTAAGAGGAAAGACTAGTTCTCATACTTTTCTATATATAGTCTAGCACCTAATTCTATGCTTTACCCACTATAGGTCTGAAAAATAATAATGAAAATGTAACAATAACAATGGTAGTATAGGAGAGAATCCCAACCAGATATTTTCCAGCCTCTTTTCCAAAAATTCATCCTTATGTTTTCCTGCTTGTTACTTCATTTTTTCTGTGTGATATAGCTATAGCCCACCTAAGATTTCCAATCAATTATAGGGTAGTAGAATTTTCAGTGACATGGTTTTTCCTTATGAAGTCAATGTTTGATGTTTGGGCACAAGGGTAGTTCAAAAATGGAAAATATTCCAAAGGCCTGTGGAAGGCATCTGTTGAAACTTGGCAGCTGTGGTATAAGGAGTTACATTACTGTCCTAAATGCATGGGGTCCAATCACCAATTTTGTTGCTTTACCTTCCCAGAATGTGCACCAGCAGAGAGTTGATGCGGCTGATCTTGGTTCAACGTGGTGACAAATAAGAACTGTGCAGATAGGTTGAAATTCTGAATTCTCACTATCCTGATTTAGGTATTTAAACTCCACTGCTCAATGCTGCAAAATGTAAGCTTGTTCTTGGGGAGGAATTGAAGGAGGAAATATTACACAATCCATTTCAAACCACAAGACTTGAGCAGGTGGTTGTGGTTTGTTTTAGTGCCACTCTTTAAACTGTGTTGGGAGAAAGGATGGAAATTCAGCTATGGTGTGAGTACATAGGACGAGCACTGTTCCTCTATACAAACTGAATTTCATATTTATTCTAGTCATTATTCTATGGAATTTATATGAATTCTATCAATGGGCATGAGGACTTCAACAAGTAAGAAAAATTTAAAAAAAAAAAAAAAAACAAGTGTCCCCTAATGAAACAGCCTGCAAGTGAAACCTCAAGATATAAATAGGCTGCCATATTTTTTTTAGCTTTCCCTATAAGCCAGATAGATACCTGCTTAGGCACCTGCCCATGCCACTAGGTCAGACGGGATGAAGGAAAAATCAAGGTGATGTAAGCACAGAGCAGACCCAGAAGGGCCTGTGGAATGCTGAACTAGGGCATTCATCTGCTTCCAGTGGGAGCCATTACTATTTTATTAGCATCACTAGCTTCTTATTCAATTAGGCTAGACAAAGAATATCAGTTTTGCTCCCCTCTCCTCTTCCATACCCTCCCAGTGCCCTTACATGCATTCAGTCACCAAAGTCTTCAGCTCTAACTCAGAGACATCTCTACCCCTCTTGCTTTCGTGGCCACTGCCTAAGGTCAGGCCCTCATACTTTCTTGCCTTATAACTAGTTTCCAATCTCAAGGCTCTCCAGATACATTCTTCACACTGTTGATGGGGCACTTTATAGCCCCTGCCAGGACCACTGAGATAGACTCAGGGGTTTCTACAGTTAAGGGGTGGAAGACTTCAGTTCAAGACTAACCCATATTAGCAGTACTCCAGTGCCCCACCAGCAGACAAAGAGGAAGAACAACAGGGGCTTTATACTGCCTCTGGAGGGGTGCACATCCAAGAAGTGGGCAATGAAAAGAAGTAGAATACCTGGGAAATGTTTTTTTTTTCCTGCTCTGATCTTCTCTATGCAAATGCCCAGCACTATCTTTGCCTTTTAAAATAGTCTTTGCACTTCATGTAGCACCTTTAATCAGAGAATCAGAAGCCAAAACAGTCTCCCCACAGACCTGATCAGCAGGTATCTTTTTCCCAGAAATGCCTAAAGGCAAGGCGTGGGAAGAAGAGCAGAGAGCAGGACTCCTATGCTTCCTTGTAGATTTTCATTTTGCTTCTTCATTCCCTTCTGGCCCTCTGAAATCTAAAGTAGAAAAATCCAACACCACTCTGTGTGTGCATGTGTTCAAGTGCTGTGTGTGTGTATGTGTGTGTGTGTGTGTGTGTGAGAGAGAGAGAGAGAGAGAGAATAGAGATGTAAAGAAGAGAGACAGGAAGTAGAAGAAACAAATGGTTAATAACTTTCAATCTTTTGGGGAGGAGAATGGGCAAAGTAGTGCAATGATTGCTCTTTTCTCTTTGGGATAGTATATTTTTGCAAGAAAATGCAGTTATTTATTGCTTGCATAATATAAAAAAAATCTATTTTCAATGTTAACCGTAATGAACATTAGCAAAAATAGTGAAGTATTTTGATGGGGCAGGACACCAGTACCATGCAAAGAAATTAAATAAGCAAATCATGAACATCACATTTGCTTACCTAGAATGAGTTTTAGATGTTGGTTTTCTCAGATTCAAAGGCATTGAATGTAAAATATTTTAATTATATGTTATCAATAGAAAGTGCTTGTACCTTGCTTGTTGTGGTAGTTACACAGCTGTGTTTATCAGAAACTGTAGAAATGTACATTTATAAAAGCAGTGAATTTTACTCTATGCAAATTATACTGCAAAAAGTAAGTAGAAAAACTCAGTTATTATTAGAAGATGATTAATTTTACAGAAGTGACAACTACCTTTAATTGAGAATTTAGTGTCTACAACTGTTCATCAGCTTTGGCACAGTACTTCATGTAATCCTTTCAATGAGTTTGATAGTGTCATTAATTTCATTCATCAGAAGAAATAACTGATTCTCAGAGATGTAACTTGCCCAATCATATGCTGATTTGGCATTTGAACCCAGGATTATGCATATCCAAAACTCCAGCTTTTCTATCCTGTGCCTACAATGACCCACGAATGCTCATTAATATGGTTCATTTGAGATGGTACATTTTATCCCAAAGGGCTGCTTCAGCCTCTCTGGAAAGAATGTGTGGTGAACTCACTTAAAATCTATGCTGGGGGGGGGGGCTGGGGTTGTGGCTCAGCGATAGAGCACTTTCCTAGCATGTGCGAGACCCTGGGTTTGATCCTCAGCACCACATAAAAATAAATAAGTGAAATAAAGGTATTGTGTCCAACTACAACTAAAAAATACATATTTTTAAAAAATCTATGCTCAACAATGTAATCAGGATCCACTTTTATGTCTCACTGAGGCAAGGTCACAAAATGCAGCCCCTACCCATATTCCTTGCACTTATTCCTACCTCACTGTCCACTGCAGGTTCAATGGCCGATGCCACAATCATCAGTCTTGACTACCACCTGCCTGCAGATGTACTGACTTCATCAGGAAAAGACACGAGGAGGGAAGAAAAAAAGAATGGAACAGAAGGGAGAAAAAGAAAACTGGAAGCAGTCAGATCAGATCACCTTGCCTGGCCCAACCTCTATTATTCCCAATCCAGAGAGGCTCATCCATGATATTCCCCTTGAAAATTGAGGTTGACACATCATTCCAATGTCAGGGACCCCTTTCTGGGACTGAACCTAACTCAAGAAAACTTGTAGGACCAGAGTGGCATGTCAAATTGTTACTTGCTAGCTTGTTTGCAGACTTAAGCTACTTAGGCATCCTACCCCTGGGAGGGAGGAAAGCATCAAGTGCTCCAAAGAGAAAAGGAAGGCATAGGATCCCTACAGGGAAACAGGGATGAGGGAGGCCTGTCAGTTACCAAAAAGCTCTCCCACTGTCCAGAGTACAGAAGTTCAATGAGTGTGGCACTGGCACCAGTCAGGAGCTTCTTCTGGCCTCAGTGTTCCATGTTTAGAAATTTGTGGGTTCTCAGAGAGGTGAGCTGGCGCTGGGGTTCAGAGTTTGGTGAAGAGGGATCCAAGAGAGGGGCATAGGACCAGGAGGAACCACTCCTGCTTGGGGAAATCCAAAAGGTCCTGGGAGGGATGCAGGGTGGTAGAAGGGTGCAGGATTATGGTAAAACTTTCATTTTACTTCTTCATTCCCTGGACCTTTGGAAGCCCCAGGACAAAGTGAGGCAAAGGCTCCTGGGGAGAAGGGAGAATCTGGAGACTGCTGCAGAGTGGGGGTTGGTGGTGGGGTGGAGGGAAGATCTTAAGGTTCTAGAGAGTGCACAGATTCAGAAAAGGATGCAGGGTCCTGGTGGAGTTTAGGGGACAATGAGCAGATTCCTGGGAGCAACACAAGATGAGGAGAGAGCCCCAGACTAGGAGAGGAGAACAGGAGCCTGAGAAAGGGGTAGGCATCAGTATAGAGCCTCCTTGAGGTCTTGGGAGCAATGCAAGACCTTGGGGAGTTTTATAAGGGATCCCGGGATCCCCAGGTCCTTAGAAGGGTATGAGATCCAGGACAGGAATGTAGAGTGCAAGGGAAGGACACAGAGTCTGGGAAGGGGTGTGAGGTCTGGATTAAGAGAAAGGTGCCTGGGATTGTAATGCATGGGTAGACACTAGGCACAGGATTGGTACAGAGGCACGGAATCTGGGGAGGGTCACCGGGTCTGGGGAAGAAGCACGGATCAATAGAAGAGGCAGGCGACCCAGCGGGGTTGAGAGAAGAGGCAGGCGTCCTGGATAGGCTTGCACCAAGTACGAGGGAGTGATCTGGGAGAGGGGCTCAGGGCATAGGGAAGGAACCGAGAGTTCAGAGAGGGAACGTAATATACAGAGTCCTGGGATCGGGTACTCAGGGTGGGCCCTAAGGGGCTGTGGGTGTGCTATACCTGCTTCAGATGTAGTCGTTGTCCACGTCCCGGCAAATGTACCACAGGATCACATAGAGGATTAGCAGGATAGCGAAGAGAAACAGAGCCACGAAGATGGCCTTAGTCACGGGGGATACCAGGGCTTGCATGGTCCCGCAGGATGAGTACCACCAGGACGCTGAATGAGGGGCAGCAACAAGAGTGGTGTCCGCTGCCACCTGCACGTGTGGAGCAGTGCCCCAGAGGAAGGAAACTTGCACCGGCCAGCAGCCAGCATTCCAGTCTGCGCCTGCGCATTGCCTGGAGCTCTTTGAACTACCGGCGTGCTCAAGGCTGGCGGAGGCTGGAGGTTTTCGCGACCACTACATGCTACTCCTTTGGTAGATTGCAGACAGGAGGCTCTGCCCTTGGCCAGGCAGAAAAAAAAAGGAGTTTAAGTTTGAGAGAGTACTGTCAGCTGCTGGTAGGGCACCTCTGGAGCAGATTTGGGGGTCTATTTGAGGACCCTAAACTGAAGAGTAATTGGGGGGTCTGCCCTGTTTCCCTCAGGCATCCGTAAGACCAGATCCCACTCCTCTCTCAGGCATCTCAGAAAAGTACATACTAAGGGTTGGCATGAGCCAGCCTCTTCCACACTACTACCCCATGCCTGCCTGTATTTTCCTGCTTACAGCGATGGGTTTCATGCTGTTTGTCACTGCCCTGTAGGAGCCAAATGTGGCAGGAACTCCCGTCAGGGGCAATGGATCAAGTGCCTTTTGGATGACCACCTGGACATCCTCAGCACCTTCCTGGAGGAAGCCAGAGCCCTGGTCTTTTTCTGGACTTCACTTCCCTCATTTTGGGAGGACATAAAGTCGTTTATGCTGAAGATAAATCCCCATATGACTTATTTTGTCCACTCTAAAGTCCAGCAGCATCCAGATCACCTGGGAATAAATTAAGAAGCAGCCTCTCAGGCCACTCTCAGCCCTAGGGAGCTAAAATCTGCGTATCACCAAGATCCCCAGAGGCATCTTGTGCAGGTTACCACTTGCTAATCAGGGTTTGGCGATCCTATGTGCCTCTGCCTACAAAGAGTCTGAGATTCACTGAATTCCATATTGAAGTAGTCAAGTGGAATCAAGCAGGATTTCCTGAGTGGATCCTTTTCACAAACTCCCATTGCTAAGTGTATAACACATAACATGAGCTGTTTTCAGTTCCTCATGGGTACAATACAATTCCTTTCACTCCAAATAAGAAATCTCTGCATCACCAATTGGCAAAGATGATCAAGAAAAGTTGTCCTTATTAACTTGAAGGAAAAGGAGAATTAGAATTTTCCCCCATCAAGAGCTGTTCTGGAATTCTTCTGCTGTCCATGTGGTTTCTCAGGTGGACACAGGTGTGTAAGTAAATTGGTGGTTTCTCCACTCTATACAACAGTCCTGTAGTTACACCTATTTTACTAGGAGGGGAAAGTAGTATTTTTTTTTGCATTACAATTCTTAATACACATATATACCACAATTTTTCATGTCTGTTTGTATATAAGGTATGTTGACACCAAATTCATATCTTCATACATATGTTTTGTATAATGATGACCATCACATTCCCCCATCCTTGCTATTCCCCATCCCCCTCCCTTTCCCTCCCACCCCTCTTCCCTATCTAGAAATAATCTTCCTCCCATGCTCTCCCTCCCTACCTTACTTTGAGTCTCCCCCCTTATATCAGAGAAAACATTCAGTATTTGTTTTTGGGGGGGATTGGCTAACTTCACTTAGCATTATCTTTTCTAATGTCATCCATTTACCTGCAAATGCCATGATTTTGTTCTTTTTTTAGTACTGAGTAATATTCCAATGTGTATAAATGCCACATTTTTTTAATCCATTTTATAAATGGCAATGTCAAAAAACAAAATTGTCAAATCTGACTGCAGTTACTACACAGACCAAATAACAGTCCCCCTCCCCCTGGCCACCTATGTAAAATCTGCCAACCACTGATAGGAGAGCATGGCTGTAGGAAAGGCTAAGGTGACTTCCACTTTGAAGGCTGTTGTATGCAATTCCTCAACTGTTAAAGTGAATATCTGTGAATAAGCTTATCTCAGTTGAAGTGAGGAATGTTTTTCGCTGTCTCTGCTGCCAAATTTCTTCAACCTCTTTTCTGAATTTGTTTACCTTGTTTTTTTCTGTACTGCAGCTTTTCCTATTGTAACAGCAACTTCCCTTCCCCAGCATCAGGCTAGTTTATCAAATATTAATTGCTTACTATGTACAGAGTTCTAAAGGACTGTGGCAGGCAAGGTAGCATTTGGTAACACATGCAGGAATAGACTAATGGAATCCACTGAGGTGTGGTGTTTCTTTAGTTAGCTCCAAAGAGGTATTCAGATGAGAGATGTGAGAAAGAGGTTGATTTTCAGTGGCAGAATGGGAGAAGGCTTTGTGGAAGGGAGCAATGGGAAGCAGTGAGGAAAGTTACTGCAGGTAGAGGAAACGTCACAGTAAAGACAGAAAAGTGTGAAGGGCCAGTCATATTTGCGAAGTCCTGATAGGGTTATTCTGTGGTTAGAACCAAGGCTTATGGGCACAGGGCAAGGCAAAAGGATCTCAAACAGAGATGCCAGCAGAGGATGAAGCTGCTTGATTGTGGGAGCAATACTGAGCTGGTGTAGGATCCAAGTGCTGCCAATGCTTCTGATTTTTTAAAAGAGTTTAATCTATAAAATCTATATTTCATGTGATATCTCCCAATTTTTAAATTGTGCAAGTGATGAAAGCATTCAATCTTTTTTATCTCCAACAGTGACATATTTCTCCCGTTTTCTTACACAGGACTCTCTCTGCTTTTCCTTATTCTCTTCCCTCTCAAGGCCATGCAGTGCCCAACAGAGGTGGTACCTGAGCATACCAGGTGATAGATAGGAAGTGGGTGAAAGGAGGGCAGGGACAAAGTGATTCCTCACCTTTTCCCTTTTCAAAAGTTCTGGAGAATTAGATGCATCCATTAAGCCTGGGGAAGAAAGAACTCCAGAGAGAGTGGAATTACCAACTTCAGTTGCTCTTCATATAGGTAAGGGATAAATCCTTAGAAATTGCTTTATCTTCTCTCTCCCAGTAAGAAATGCCACCCAGAAAGCCACGAAGAGTAATTTAATAGATTATGGACGTATATTTTACATGACTGTATGTTTACTCTCTACCCATTTTAATTATATTTACTCAATACATTTTAGCTTTAAGAATGATGGTTGCTGAAGATTTTTTCATAGATGCCCTTATGAGGTTGAGGAAGTTTCCTTGTATTTCTAGTTTTGTTTTGTTTTTATTATAAAACAGTGTTGGGTTTCACCAAATTTTTTTTCTGCCTATTAAGATGCTCATGCGGTTTTGTCCTTTATTCTATTAATATAACACATTACATCAATTGATTTTCAGATGCTTAAACAACTTTGCGTTTGGTCCCATGATAAATTCTATTTGGTCATGGTGTAAACTTATTTTTACTTGGTATTGGATTCAGTGTGTGTATTGTTGGGGATTTTTGCATCTACATTCATGAAGGCTATTGGTCTAATTTGGGTAAATAAAACTGGTCTCATAGAGACCTGGTTCTGTATATATGCCCTTGTAGATTCCCCAGTATACAAGGGGACTTTCTAAACCCTTCATTACTTCATGTATCTCCATCTTTTCCCTCTTACTTTGTATGCTTTTTACTTGAATTATGAGATGGGTTGGTAGATAGCTAAGGAAAAATATCACAATGTTCTCTCATCACATTTTAGCACCTTCTTTCTACATTGTTGTATTTTTCTCTAATTTCATCTTGAGTTGTCTTCCTGGCGTATGGCTATAAACTCAGTGCTGTGATGGGGCTCCAGGGGATTTGTTCATGGATGTTTATAATGTGCCTTCCATAGCATACATTTTATTTTTTATTTGTTCTAATTAGTTATACATACATTTTGATGAATTGTACACAAATGGAGCACCACTTCTCATTCTTTTGGCTGTCCATGGTGCTGAGTCACACCAGTAGTATAATCATACACGTATGTAGGGTAATGATGTCTGCCTCATTCTACTGCCCTTCCCATCCCTGCTAACCCACCCCTCCCTTTACTTCCCTCTGCACAATCTAGAGTTCCTTCATTTTTCCTTACCCTCCCACTATGGATCAGCATCCGCTTACCAGAGAAAACATTCAGCCTTTGGTTTGGGGGAATTGGCTTATTTCACTTAGCATGATATGCTCTAGTTCTTATCCATTTACCTGCAAATGACATAATTTCATTCTTTTTAAATAATATTTTTAGATGTACATGGACACAATACCTTTATTTTGTTTATTTAATTTTTTTATATGGTGGGTGGATCCAACACAGTACCTCATGCATTCTAGGCAAGCGCTCTATCACTGAGTCACAACCCAGCCCCATAAAATTTTTATTCTTAATTAAGGCTGAGTAATAGTACATTCTGTATATATACCATATTTTCTTTATCCATTCATCTATTGAAGGGCATCTAGATTGGGATACTTTTTTATCTGCCTAAGTATCCAACATGACCCGGTGTTTCACTCACTAGAAATTTGAAATTTATTTATATTGACAGTTGCCCTTGTGGCTGTTGTCTGACCTGTGCCCAGTTTATTCCTAGCAAGAACAATTTTTTTAAAAAGAAACAAAAGACAACTTGAAAATTTAAAAAAAAAAAAAAGATGATCACTCTTTAGGAGAGCATTGACAAGAATAAAAGTTAGGTACATTTGTGTTGTTTGAATGATACATGGAGAAGGCAGCACAACAAAAATACATGAAAGAACAGTTTATTACTTACATGTCAGAGAGAGAAGGGGACTACTGATGAGAGAGGACAGGAAGGTTTCAGGGGCAATGTGATTAAACTATGGTTTTGAAGACAAAGAAAAAGAGAAATGGGCCAATGGGAAAAAGCCTTGGGTGTCCAGAGCAGTACTCAAGCAGGCTTTCCATGGGCAGTTCTAATTGGTGAGTTAAGAACAAGCAGGCTGAAATCTTACTAGAACTGAGAGGTGGTTACTACAGCATATCCACACTATCAACATGGGGTATTGGGAACAGTGGGGCAAGTTAAGTAGGTTGTATCTTCATGTCCTAGAGGGAGGTGATTACCAAGAATTGACTGTACAAGACAAATATCTGGATTGACCACATTGAGGAACAGGTAGGGGCAGAGAACTGGAAACTGTGTCAAGGGTGACTAAGCCCTGCTTCTCTTATGCTGAAGCAACGTAGACTTATAGGAATCTACTACATTATATACATTTATTTTGTTTTGTTTTGGTTTTTGGATTTTGGTTTCATAAATTTAAAGTTTAGAAAACATTATTCTAACAAACTTGCAAGCTTATTAATTACTTTGTTGGAGTTGTGGTACAGCAGACAAAAATGAACCTAATCAAAGGTGAATTTTAGAAACAATGTTGAGTAAATGAATCACCGAAGAATATATGTAGTTAATTATTATTAATATACAATTACATGTATTAACTAAAATATAATTTAGGGAGAATTAAATGTGTTAAAAAGCTGAAATTTAGTCAGTGAAATGATAGAAACAAAATTCAAGATGGTAGTTGCCATCTTGGGAGAGCAGGGTTCACAAAGGAATATGTAATGGTATTAATAATATTTCACTTCTTATTGAATACAAGCTGGACTCATTTCACTATGCTTCAAAATTTACATATATCATTTTTATCACATAAATTGTTGCATAAAACATTAAAAGAACATAGGTTATCAGGTTTGTCAGATAGGAAGCTGGAAGATTTAATGCATGTGAACACATCAAATGGCAAATTTGCAATACTAAAACATCCTAAAAGCCTGAAACAGATTAAATATAGTGATTATTATAAATTAGTTCAGAATGTAAAATTAAACATTGAAGTTCATTAAACCAAATTCTGAATGAGAAACACATAACATATATAAGACTTAAGTTTAGAGAAGAATCTGTGCAATGTCTACCCATATTGCCATATGACTGACTCCAACATGGGTGAAGTGGGGTGTGTAGAATGTGCCGATCTCAGGCAATTGGAAACCAGCAAGATCTTATAAAATGAGCAAAGAGGAATACCCAGGCCCTCAGAGAACCATGCTGTGAGAAAGGCCCCAGGGCAGGTATGAGTCAGTAAAGATTTTCACCTAGAGCAGGAAGAAGCAGTCATCATCCAAAGGGTGAATGTAGGTTGTGGTTGATAAAAGAGGCCAAATTTAGTGGCAGAATAGCATTAGCAAGCATCAAGCCTGAGGAGTGTGAAATGATCTTAAAATAGAGAGGCTGTGGCATGAGGCTGCTGATATGGTCTCAGCCCCAATCAGGGTTTGTTCAGGACTTGGGCAGAACTGAACCTCAGGACAGTTTCCAATGACTCCTATTCAGTATGCTTGGGGTGGGAGACAAGAATTGGCTGTCCAGATTTTGAGGAGCAAAACAAGAACAGGAGACCCTAACCAATGGGAATTGCCAGGATCTACTCATTTCTACTCCCTGCCTATAGCAAACTTCATCCCTCACTGTACCCTGCTTTAAGGATTAAGCTTGTCCCTTGTCTTTCATTAATAACTGCTTATCTCCTGGCATCTTTCTTTTCTCCTCTCCATTTGGAAAACAAGAGATCAAGTGGGCGAGTATCTAGATAAGAGGGCTCCATCACAGTAGAGAAAGAGTTCAGAAATATTCCCAAATGTTGTCATGAACCCAAAGAACAATGTGATCCTTAAGGTGAACACTCTCCTACCACCTTATAACTCACTCAATCCTAACCTCAGTTTCCAGTGCAAAGAAATGACACAAGATGGTTATCTGGCAGACTGATAATCAAAGATCTAAATTCCCAAACTTGAAAAATTGCAATAGCTACCATGTGGGTTTAAGGTATAAATTGTTTTGATTATATATTTGTTTACACTGCTATTCAAATAAATTTGGGGCAGTTTACAAATATACATGCATCAAAACAGCATAACTATTGGTTTTTAAAAATATACTTTTATGAATACAAGTTAAAATCTCTTACTTATTTAGTTAAAATTGAAAAAATAAAATTTTACAGCAGTCATAAATGACAATAAAATGTTATCTAGGGACATCTAGATCTTCATGAAGAAATTATCTTGCATTGATTTTTAAAACATGGCTTTACTCTGCCCACCTTCATCTATGGGCTCACAACAACACTTGAGTCCAAAAAACCCACACTTGACCTGGGGATTACAGAATTCCAAGTTTCCAGATGAAGACTCAAAGAAATTCCACAGATAATTAAATTTAAAGGAAATAGAAGCATACATTAAGATTAGTGTAACATTCATCTTCATTATATTCTCAAATAGTACCTGAATTCTGAAAATGCTCTCTATGTTATTAAAAATAGGCCAAGTGACAGTTGAAGTTCCAAGAGTTTTTCTATTGGTTTCATTAGATGAATTTTAGAAGACTGCCATTATCATGATGCTCCACGTCTTTCCCCAGACTGAAACAGGCCATGGTTCCACTTGCCATTACCACCAGGAAAAGAATGAATGAAACAGCTTGTCTGTTCATCTTGACTGATGGTTCTACTAGGCCTTATGGGTTCTCATCAATGTGGCAGTCCTACAATGGCCAACAGATGAAAAAATGTTTTCAAGGACCCTCCACAGTACATGAGAAGACAGCTTCCATTCAGCATATTGTCAGTGGAGCTGAAATCTTGCAAAATACTGATTGAAATCATACAATTGCCCAAGATGAAATATTTTATGGATTATATTTTAAAAATTAACAATGCTAGTGTGGGAAAGTAAACCCCAGAGAAACACATTGGAAGAATGATGTTTTACCAACTCTCATGGTACAAAGGGTCGGGTCACATAATTCCTGTGCCTCACCAGGCTCTCCAGGCCAAGCTTTCTAGATCCCTGTCCCTATTATTTGATCCAGATCTTTTAGCTACTATGTTCCTTTGTTTTCCCTGAACATTTGCTCATGTTATTCCTACCATCTATAGTAAATTGTTCCTTTAATCTTACTAGACCCACATTCCCAGCCTCTTTAATTAGTCTTATACGTGAGATGGAGGTTAAAAGGCCTTCCACTCCTCCAGGAAATCTTCCTGGACCACACCCCTGCAAGCTGAAGGATGGCTTGAGACCCACATTATAAGGAACTCCAGTAGCCTATATATCTCCTTCACAGCACACATGTGATTGTTACCTCAACTTCTATTTCCCACACTGAGATTTAGGCTGTGTGAGGTCAGGCCTACTCTCAATCTTGTTCAGCACTCTAACTCCAGAGCCTTTGCAGGCACACAGCAACCTGTTTAAATCTGGTAAACAAGATGGATTAAAGCAGGAACTAATTTCTAGGGGTCTGGTTACTAATGCCAGCTTTCCTCTGCAGTCAGGGTTTAGGAGACAGGAGGGCAACAGGTACTGAAACCAGAGCAAAGTGGACCTGCCTAGAAGCAATATAAACTCAGAATATATGAGAAGACAGCTTCCATTCAGCATATTGTCAGTGGAGCTGAAATCTTGCAAAATACTGATTGAAATCATACAATTGCCCAAAATGAAATATTTTATGGATTATATTTTAAAAATTAACAATGCCTGGTAGCTATGCTGATATATAACTGATAGAACTGTATGCCCCAAACCAATCAGCTCTATTGTATGATCCCTAAGGAAAGAAAGGAACAAGGGAAAAGTAGCCTGAGGGGTCAGGGTAGGAGGGTGGGGAGATGTCAAGGGAGGCTGGCCAGGCTACGCCCCCAGGGCTTCTCCTGTGGGCTCAAGTGTGGGTGAGGCAATGTCATTCTGCTGGGACCAGTACATGCAGACAGAGAGCATGCCTGGCATGGTGGCAAGGTTGGAGTAGCGCGATGCAGCCAGCGTGAATCTGCCAAGGTCACTAACTTGGAGGGGGTATAGGATCTCTAGAAGCCTAGGCGGCTAAAGGTGCTGGAGGACATGGTCCTGCCGCAGAGGCAGGAGGGGCCGGACTGCATGTGTGAGGGAGGGAAAGTGGGAGTGAGTGGGAAGCAGGGACTGGGACACTGAGCACAGGAGTCCTGAGTGAGGGAGTGGGCACTGTGAGTGAAGACTAGGAACCCAGAGGCCAAGGCCCAGAAGCAACACCTTCCCCCAAAGAAGAGGCGCCTGGGACATAGTGTATCCTGCAGCAGGCCCCGTGGTGAACATGCTACAGGTTTCTTTCCCATGCTGCCCTCACAGCAGTGCTGGGCAATGGGACTGTCCTCAGTCAGGCTTGCACTGTCTTAACTGAGAGACCAGCAGGGTGATGACAGTGGCACCCACTGGAGGTTGGGCAGAAGCTCTAAAGTCATCTCCTGTCTGCTTCTCCCCGCAGGTGGTGTGTGTGCCCCTGTGGATCCTCATGTCCTTTCTGTGCCTCGTGGTCCTCTATTACATCGTGTGGTCGGTCTTGTTCCTGCGCTCCATGGATGTGATTGCAGAACAGCGCAGGACGCACATCACCATGGCACTGAGCTGGATGACCATCGTCGTGCCTCTCCTTACTTTCGAGGTAAGCACCTGGGAAATCTGTCCAGCCCCCAAGCCCACCCTCCCCCATGACGACATCCTGCCTACCTGGAAAGGCAGCCCGCCAGCCCTTGACATGGCGGCATGCCCCGTGGAGGTCTGCAGAGAAAGGCAGGGACATGGCCAGGTCCTCTCTTTCTCCTAGGCACGGGGCAGAGAGCCGTGCACCTCTCCAGCCACCATGCATCTGGAGGTGTGCACCTTCTGCTTTTAGGAAGGGAGAGTTTGAAGTCATCACTATGTATTGGAGTCCTGTAGAGAATTCTACAGTGGACACAGTTGGCTCCTTACAACCAACACCAGGAATGTTTCCCATGAAACCCCTGGTGGTGACAGTTTTCCAAGTGGATGGACTTTTGCTTGGTCCTGAACAAGCAGGCCAGCGGGCACCCGGTTGCTCCCCACAGGAAGCATGCATTTCTGCCGGTGGTGACAGTTTTCCAAGTGGATGGACTTTTGCTTGGTCCTGAACAAGCAGGCAGGCGGGCACCTGGTTGCTCCCCACAGGAAGCATGCATTTCTGCCCTTGCCATGTGACTCTCCCTCTTCCGAGACCTAATAAGGGAGGAGGTGTGTAGTGGGGCAGCTTCAGACTTTGTCCCTTTCCAAGTGACACATTGACAGGACCCTGACTGTGTCTCTTTCTCCAGATCTTGCTGGTTCATAAACTGGACGGCCACAATGCTTTCTCTTGCATTCCAATATTTGTGCCCCTGTGGCTGTCGTTGATCACACTGATGGCAACCACATTCGGACAGAAGGGCGGAAACCACTGTACGTACTCTGTGCCTGAGAGGCACTGGAAGGGTGTGTGTGTGTGTGTGTGTGTGTGTGTGTGTGTG